ATATATTATTATTATGGTATAATTGATTTATAATCTTAAATAAATTGAATATAACAAATCTATATAGCATAAAGACTACATTTATAATTTAAGTTGATTATTTAAAATTTAGATAATAATTAATTTTGGGGCCCCATTAAAAAATTTGACCCGGGCCCCAAAATTCCTAAATTGGGCTCTGGTACCAAGATTGTCTTTAGTGTATATTAGTTATTATTGATAACTTACTAACTATTTGAAATATACCTATATGCATGAGCAATATGACAAGTTAGTGTAAGCAACCCATACACAATACAGTATAGGTAATAAAACACAAATACATTGATCTCAGTAATAAATTTGCATAATAATCTGCTATTAAAAAATTTGTATTTTTACTTCAGAAATATTAACTATTTATAATTTATTTAACATGTAGATTCTAGGTAAATACCTCTAAGTATATTTTAATTGTATTTAATATTCACACTCATCTCTAGGTATATGTATAGGTACTACATATAAGTACTGACAATACTGTAGAGTGTAGGTGCATGTAAAACAATATTTGAAATATAATAGGTATTAAAACAAAATATGAAAGATAGTATTTACATAATGAAATTTACTCCTAATTAATAAAACATAAATAATTTAGTGTCCTCTGCCATGGGACTTAGCATTTAATTGGCCTAATTTAATATTTTTTCCAATATTGTGGCTTTTTTTTATAACTTTATTTTTGTTGACTGATGTTGGAGGCCTTCCAGATGGAATTCTCCGAGAACCTCGAGTGACACCTTGCCTCCGACGACTTATTGAAGTAGGCTGAACCTTAATTTGGCCTTTTCTTTGAGTTACAATATTTAAACYTCTGGAACAAGTGACTATTAGTTTTGTYAACTGCTGTGCATTTTTTATCACTGTCATTTTGTTGGCTAATTTTTTTCTTATGTCTAAAGGCACATCATTTAAAAACTGCTGAACTCTCAAAAACTCTGTACTAAGTTTTTCATTGACCTCGTCACTAAGAATTTTGGAATCAACAGTTTCTGATGGTTTTATTTGTTGGTTTTCCTCTTCATTCAAATGAAGACTAGGGGGTAACTCATTGGAACTACAAACTTCGATTTCTTGTAATTGT